AGCTGGATTTAGGCTGAATATCAGGAAAAACAACAGTGGAACCAGTTACCTCGGCAGGTGGTGAGCTCTCCAATGATGGAGGCATTCAAGAGAAAATTGGACGACCATCTGTCAGATCTGCATTGATTTGGATTCCTGCATTGAGCAGGTAGTTGGATGATGGCCTTATAGCTCCAACTCAATTATTCTATGATTCCATGCCAGTGCTTTGACAGCTTCTTCAGACAGAGCCCAATGTGTTACAATCTGTGCTGAAGCTTGCCAAACATCGACTGTTCCGACTCTTAAAATTCCTTGCGGCTTGGGTCAAGGTACCTGGAGAATCACCTGTCACTTATTTCGTGCAACCAGGATCAACATCAGAGGTATTCCTTCAACATTCCCCTATCATCTGAAGTCATTCCTTTCTTTATTACACTTGCTGTTGTCATGGACCATAAAGGTGCTTCAGACCTAATAAGGCCTTCAAGATATGTGAGTTTTTCAAGTAGTAGTTTATCTTCGTTTCCCCTCAAAAGTGTTTCCTTGGCCAAGCAGGGATTTGAACCAAGGTCTTGTGAGTCTTAATTCAACTCTCTATACTGCATACCATACTGGATATTATTACATTTATACCCCGTCCTTTTTCCTGACAGACAGAGAGAGAGAGAGAGTAGTCCAAGACCACCCACTGAGGTTCATACTTTCTGGGGATTAGAATCCAGATCTCTCAATTCCAGTCTAATGCTCTAATCATTACACTACTGTATAGTGACTAGCTACTAGGGAAAATACATTTCCGTAGTGCAGCCCCCAAAATATGGAAAACTCCCCACAGAAGGGCTCTGCTGCTAAACCATTCAGATGTCTCCTTAGTTTTTGGAAAGGATATTTAGAATTGTTTTTTCTTTGAGTGTAGTTGATTTGCTTCCTTTACAATGTGTAAAATTACTTTTTAAGACTATCTCTCCCATAATACCTCTGACAGCAAGGGGTTTTCTAGCAAATGCAGTCCAAAACTGTAACTTCTGCAAACTCTACTCTTATATTTTACCCATATCATTCTGTGTCATGATCCCCAACCATGGGGTCCCTGAGGAAAACTCAGAAAAGGCAGTCAATTCCAGGCCATTTTCCTTGGGGGCAAACCCCTTCAGCAAACTTCCCTAAGCCCTCTCAGCATTAAAATGTGATCCTCCCACTGTCCTTCAGCTAAAGAGAAGAATTCTGAGCAATGCACCATCACTTAGACTTGCTAATGGAGTCAGAATTAGCAAATGCCCCTTTAAAGAGCACAGCTGGCTCCTTCAGTGAGGTGGTTCCAAAAGCAGAACAGACTTGTCTGCCTTCACAAGGCTTTAAAAAAGGTAAAGGTTCCCCTTGACAATTTGTGCAGTCGTGTCCAACTCTAGGCGGTGGTGCTCATCTCCGTTTCCAACCCATTGAGCTAGCGTTTGACCACAGACAATCCTCCGTGGTCACGTGGCCAGCATGACTAGACATGGAACACCGTTTACCTTCCCACCGAGGTGGTATCTATTTATCTACTCGCATTTTTGCATTTTGCATGCTTTCGAACCGCTAGGTTGGCGGGAGCTGGGACAAGCGATAAGTGCTCACTCCGTCGCATGGATTCGATCTTATGACTGCAGGCTTTCTGACCTTGGAGCACAGAGGCTTCAGTGGTTCAATCCGCGGCGCCACCAAGGCTTTAGGTGGCTTGAAATACCTATTCAGACATGATTGTCACATTAATCTGGGTAAACAGGGCCCATCAGGAGCTTTATAGATTCCTGATTTTTATTAAAGTAATGTACTATGACTAGATTTGATCCTACTAGCCTCAAGTTCCAAAATAATGTATTGTTTTTTCTATGCATTAATTATATTACAGTGGTGCTCCGCATAGCAATGATAATCCATGCAGCAAAAATCATCGCTATGCAGATTCGTTGCTATGCGAAATTAAAAGGCCCATAGGAATGCATTGAAACTCCTTCAATGTGTTCCTATGGGCTTAAAACTTACCTTTAAGTGAAAATCCTCCATACAGCGGCCATTTTAGCTGCCTGATAAGTGAGGAATCCGTCCCTGTTTTACCCGGTGGCCATTTTGGAACTGCCGATCAGCTGGGGAAAAATAATCGCTATGCGAAAATTGGTAAGCGAAATAGCTTACCGATCATCACAAAGCGATTTCTCCCATAGGAAACATCGTTATGCAATCGCAAAAGCAATTGCAAAAACATTGTCACTATGCGGATTCGTCGTTAAACGGGGCGCCCATTATGCGAGGCACCACTGTATTGTGCTTAATATTTTATTGTAAGCTAATCTGATGTCTCATATGAAGGAGGGATCTATATCCTTGGTAATACATATATAAAATGCATGTGTCTAGTGTGATACTCTTGAACACTGGGCAGATTTCTTAGTTTGCACACGATTCTGACTTGTAAGTTAAACATTTTTTTAAAAATACTTCAAAAACATAGCTTGATGTAACATGCAATATCCTACACACATTTACTAACAATATGTCTTTGCACCACTTCCCTTCCTTCTTTCCCTTCCCCTTTTTATTATGAAATTGAATCAAGAGTTTAATGAATTTTTTTTAAACTTTCATCTACTTGGATAAAGCATTTTATTGACTCAGAATCAGGGTGGTTGCAGACTTCTTATAGAACTTGACCTTCAGATTCAGCGTTCTGTGACAATGCTAGCTGAAGAGATATAAACAATATGTCTGAGTTTCAACCGCTGGTCATGTATTGTTATTTTAGAAAACAGAAATAAATTGTTAAGGACATTTTTTCCTACCAGATCTCTTGTATTTTCCGCATTTTATTGACTCAGAATCAGGGTGGTTGCAGACTTCTTATAGAACTTGACCTTCAGATTCAGCGTTCTGTGACAATGCTAGCTGAAGAGATATAAACAATATGTCTGAGTTTCAACCGCTGGTCATGTATTGTTATTTTAGAAAACAGAAATAAATTGTTAAGGACATTTTTTCCTACCAGATCTCTTGTATTTTCCTACTGCAATTCTTTACTTTACTTTCCCACTGCAATTCTTTATTTTCTAGCCAATGTAACATACTGTACTGAGACAAAGCAAGTCCCATGCCATATTTTGGCAAAGCACGGTGCTATGGATTTATCAGACTCATGGGGGCCTGGACTAGAGCATCTTGGGATGCAGTCCAACACTAATATTCTAAAGGATGCACTCTGGTTGTCAGTAAGTTGATGCCAATCTGGGGTTTGGGCATGAGGACTTTCAGTAGGCTTAGTAAACACAAAGTACTGTATGTCAAATTAACTCTTTACTATGCCTAACCCAACTGCTGGTCCTCAATAGATTTAAGTTCCCATGGGGTAAAAACATATCCCAGAATTCATTCAGTCTAAGTTTAACCACTGAGCCTCGTGGTGCAGTGGTTAAACTGCTGTACTGCAGCCCAAACTGTGCTCACGACCTGGGGTTCAATCCCAGGTAGCGGCTCAAGGTTGACTCAGCCTTCTATCCTTCCGAGGTCGGTAAAATGAGTACCCAGCTCGCGGGGGGGGGCAATGTGTAGCCTGCATAATTAACTTGTAAACCGTCCAGAGAGTGCTTGAAGCACTATGGGGCGGTATATAAGCAGCACGCTTTGCTTTTTAAAAACTCATTAGCATGAGCATTTTACAAACAAACAAACAAACAAACAAATAGAATGCTTACTCACAACTACCCGTATTTTTCGCTCCATAAGACGCACCAATTTTTTAGGAGAAGAAAACAGGAAAATATAATCTGTTTTCTGCGCTCCAAAAAACTCATTAGCATGAGCATTATACAAACAAATCAATAAACAAATAGAATGCTTACTCACAACTAAGTCCTAGACCAGTGGTTCTTAACCTTGGGTTACTCAGGTGTTTTTGAAATGCAACTCCCAGAAACCCCACCCAGCATAGCTGGTGGTGAAGGCTTCTGGGAGTTGCAGTCCAAAAACACCTGAGTAACCCAAGGTTAAGAACCACTGTCCTAGACAAGTATGTATAGGGTAGAAACCTTAATCTAAACTGATTAGGACCCAGAGAAGGGATGCAATGGAAACTGATCCCTACCTTATCCTCATGTTGTTATTATATATAGTCAGTTGTTTCCAAGTTAAGCTTAAGCTAATGTTGCTGAGAGGCGGAGCGGAGAGAAATGTAATAAAGAGGCGGAGTCAGAGAGTGAAACAGTCAGTACGTCAGAGTCAGAGAGAGTGAGAGAGTGGAAAAGGAGATAGAGTGTGGTATTTGGGCGGTCTGAGGTGTAATTAGAGTGAAAAGTGAATAAGAACTGTAATAACAAATAGAAGGTTGAGATTGATGATAATAGAAGTTGCCTATGAATAAATAACATCTGTAATCAATAAAAAAAATTTATTTAAAAGACAGTGAAGTTTGGACCTGCATCTTCATCCATCCATAATTAATGTTGATTTAGTGATCAACTGGTGGCAGCGGATAAAAAGGAGTAGTAGTTTGCCTTCGTGTGCTCTGTGTTTGGAGGGTCAGGCAAGGGGCACGAGGGCGAATGCCACAGCCATCCACTCATAGGTAGCACTGAGAGGGTGTGAGGCAGGGAAGCCAGGGTGTTGTGTCTGAGTGGGCACCCATTGCAGGAGGTTGGGCTGGAGAAGCACCAAACAGCTAGAAAACAAACTGGCACAAACTGCTGAAGGGGTGATTCATGCCTGTCTCTCATCCAGAGAAGGACAGATTCAGTTTAGATATTTTTTTGTGTGATTGTCCTCAACCCTTCCCAAACAGCCTCCGTCCCAACTAGTTGCCTGAATCCTAGACCCTCTGCCTTCTCACTATTTTCTGAACCAGGAATATAAGCCTTAGTGAAAATTTCTTTTGAGACCACAACAATTTACAGAAGACCACTAGTACTGAAGACTAGAATCGAGATGGTCCACTCAAGGCCTGTAAATCAATAGACCCATAAAGTGTTCAGAGAAGGAAACATACCCAATACCTTACACATGCCATTAATACAGACGTCTCTGCTGTTGTTCCCTTCAAAGCAAGGCGTACCATCAATAACGGCATCTAGCATTTTCTCTGTAAAGTGATTGTTTGCAGGGCGGCACTGAAGCTCACACAGATTAGCTAGAGAGAAACCCAGAAATACAAACATTAGATTAATCAAACACATTTTCAAGTGTTGGCCCATCAAAGGCATGTAAATCGATAGACTCACAAAGTGCAATCATACAATGTTACGGATTCGAAGCTAAAAGCTTTATAAAAATGAGCAAGAACGCTGAGTATAGATTCCACCGACATAAGTTTCTTCACAAACTCTGAGAACAAAAATGCCTCTGATGTCTGCACTAAGTTATTTCTGTCATTCATGACGGTGCGACAAAATTGGCCTAAACCCCTCTCAAAAAAAAAAAAGCTGTTTTGGAAATAGAAAGCACTGTGACAGGTCTCAGAACTACCAAAGCAGTTATGAATGTTTTTTGATTTTTGTAATTCAGTTCCAAAGCTGCTACAGTATTTTCTGTTGATTCTCAGTGGTGTTCTTATTAAAGAAAGCAATTTACAACACATAGAAGGTTTTCTAATGCAGCAAACGCAGCAGGGGAGAAATTTTACTGCCAAGGAGACAGACTGGTCATTTTAAAAATCGCTGCTTGTTTTTCTGACTTGAAGAAACAATCGCTTGCAAACTAGTTCTCTTTGAGCCATTTCTCTCTCTCTCTCTCTCTCTCTCTCTCTCTCTCTCTCTCTCTCTCTCTGTGTGTGTGTGTGTGTGTGTGTGTGTATGTGTGTGTGTGTTGACTTAATGTCAGCCTTGGTCAATGGACTTTTCTTTTTCAAATTATCCATATGTGAATAATGACTCTCCTTCCTTCTTAATGTCAGCCTTAGTCAATGGACAATTTTTTCCATATGTGAATAATGACTCTCCTTCCTTTATTAAGTGCCAGGAAATAGAACTGCTCAGTGGTTTAGCTCTCCAGCTGCAGAGCCAGAGGTTGGGACTTCGATTCCCCACTGTGCCTCCTTGACAAGGGCTGAACTTGATGATCCATAGGGTCCCTTCCAGCTCTGTAGGTCTATGATGACAACAACAATAATAATACCTATTGCTTGCAAGCACTTTAGGTGAGAACCACTTAACTTTAATTACCATGATAATTCAGTTTAATTGTAATTGATCATTGCATGTATTTGAGCGAATCAACAGTGATCAGATCTTGTCAGAATATTGTTTAAGGCCAAAACCTAGATCAAGACTGAAATTCATTTTCACTGTTAGTCATGGATTTGTCTGTCTGTCTGTCTGTTTGTCTATCTATCCCGCCCGACTAGTAGCAGAGCCACTACTCCAGGTGGCTGATGAGTCTCTGCTTCCTACTTACCTGTGTTATAAACTGGAATCCACTGGTAGAATTCATTTTTGTAGGCAACTGTATCAAACTCACTGCATTGCATCTGGCGAAAATTCGGTGTGTTCCTTTGACACCGTTTCACATTACACATGCGGTATCGTTTCCTCTCTCCTGTGCAATACTTCCCTCCAAACTGTGGTCTAAAAGGAACAGAACTTGTTGGCGTTAAGAAATTTATTGATTCCAGACAGAACTTGTTGTTGGCGTTAAGAAATTTATTGATTCCACTGCATTCTGGGATTTCACAATGACCTCAATGGCTTTCCCCACCTTGGCTTACTGAACTCAACCCTCTTGTTCCACTGGTCTGATCCAGAGGTTGGAAAGTTTCTTTGAAGAAAAATGAATGTCATGGCATGCTAAAGCCACCCATAGCTGAGCAGTGGTACAGTGATGCTCTGGGACCTAGCAAGCACAGCCAATAGTCGGATCAGTTCATGGCCCATCCATACAGCATTTTTTCCCACCAGCCACCAACTGGCCAGTCAGATGGCCCATCCGTACAGCATTTTTCCCACCAGCCACCAACTGGCCAGTCACAAGCATAAAGGTGAGCACAAAGAGAATTACATTGTTGTTTCAGCTCACCAGTTGCTATTAAGAGGTATTCCATGCTTCTGTATGGCGGTTCAGTTCAGTAACAATTACTAACAGCAACTATTACCCATAGAAATGATAGACATACAGAACTGCAAATTTCTTTATTGGCTGTCCTCTTGGGCATTCAACAGTAGCCTGGCAAGTAGAAATGTATTGTTTATTTATTTCATTAAAAGAGCTTATTGGTCACCTTCCTGTCTTTTAGGGACGTTCTTTAAAAACAGATTAAAAATAACTTTAAAAGCCAACTTTAAAAACCAAACACTAAGTGGAACAGTACAGTTGTGACTGCCCACTGGAAGGTCAGCGAGGATGGAGCCAACCCAAGTAAGTACACTTCTCCCTTCAACAACACAGGGTTAGGGGCATTGTTCCCCTGTGTAGTTCACCATCCATTTATAATCCTTATGCCCTCAAAAATGTAACAACAAAGCATGCCAGCTTTGGTTTAGGTGTGTGGGTGTCTTGCAGAGGCTGGCTTGACTCCCCCAACAGATCTAAAGTAGGGCTGGCCATTTGCCACGGCCACAGTACAGTAGACCCTCAACTTACAGACTTTTCGAGTTACAGATTTCTCTGGCCGCAAAATTTAGGTTCGACCTGCAGCTGGAGAATTGACCTACAGACCGGAAAAAAATCCAAAATGGAACAAAAACAGAACAAAAATGGCCGGTTATGGATTAATCGGTTTTCAATGCATTGTACGTCAATGGAGACTCGACCTACAGACTTTTCGACCTGCAGCCGCCATTCCTGTACGGATTAATTCCATAAGTAGAGGGTCCACTGTAGCAGGAAGGCTGGGCTCTGATTAGCAAATCATTCCAGGGGCCAGCAGAGGAAAAGCCGGAGGGGGCTCCCTTTTCCACCTCCCTGCTAGCAAGCAGCTGTGGGACAAATAGTGGAAGAGAAGGCAAGTGTTTCCAGCCCAGTTGACAGCAGTAGCAGCCACTTGGTGCATGTGGTAACCTCTCTCCTTCTTCCACCTCCTCCTCACAGCTGGAAATCTGCCTCCTCCCCTTCCGCCAGTCCCCTCTTTTGCAAGAGGGAGACAAACTGAACTGAGCTACCAGTTAAAAATAAAGAACCAGGTGGGAGAGTGAGTGAGGTGGAAGGTGTTTGGCTCTGACCCTGGCTGCCACTGCGCAGGCTGCTGCCTCCTAGCCACCACCCTCAAGTAGAGGAACCAATCAAAGGCCTCCTAGAAAATCCACATGTAACCCCAACTGCGCAGCTTGGACATGTGCAATTCAACAGAGAAGTGTACTTTGAGTTACTCTGATGCCAAACATGGTTAATGAAGATCTCTCCCAAGTCATAGCTGCATGGTAGGAAGAATTCTGGCTGTTAAAATGTTCTCATGGCGGGATGGCATTAAAGGTACAAAGCCAATGTGAAAACTTGGAAATCCCAAAGCAGATGTTGCTCAAAGACAACTCCCGCCGGCCTTCGCCAGAGGAGCCACTGGAGTGGGAATCCAATGAGCTGCAGTGCCCAATAACATCTGAAAGGCCAGAAGGTGACAACTGCTAGCTTGTAGGGAGCTGCCCACAACAACCTATTGAAAATTTAAATGTACTTAAGCTTAGTGTAAGACTTTGGGAATATACAGTAAGACCTCTTATCTGCAGTATCAGTATCCACTGATTTACTTATCCACTGCCTGAAAATACTAAATAACATCCCACCACCCCCAAATATGTATCCATAAGATGTATTTACCAGAACTGGCCAGGAGAGGAAGCTAGTATGGTGTTAGATACTTCCACATATTTTGGGATCCGCTGGGGGGGAGCAGCTTGGAACCGATGCCCCACGGATACCACGCTCCTACTGTACCTATAATATAGCAATCTGAAACTACTTTAATGTGTTTGAAACTATTCTCATGGTTTCATCCTATGGAATGCTGGGATTTGTAGTCTGCTGCTGTACTATGAAATCAGTGCTAGTCTAGTGATTTCCTCTGAACTGCAGTACTAGAGCTCTCTAGCAGACAAGTCTATGTACAGTGGTGCCTCGCAAGACGAGCGCTCTGTTTTACGATGAAATTGCATAACGATGAAGTTTTGTGATCGCAAAATGATGTTTCCTATGGGGGAATTTCGCTTTGTGATGATCGGTTCCCTGCTTCAGGAACCGATTCTCACAAACCGACGATTTTCCTACAGCTGATCGGCGGTTTCAAAATGGCCGCCGGGTAAAAAAATGGCCACCTGCTGTTTTCTGGGACAGATTCCTCACTGTACAGGCAGCGAAAATGGACGTGCTATGGAGGATCTTCGCTGGACGGTGAGTATCAAGCCCATAGGAATGCATTAATCGGGTTTTAATGCGTTTCTATAGGCTTTTTAAAAATCGCTTTACGATGTTTTTGTTCTACAGCGATTTCACTGGAACGAATTAACATTTTAATGCGAGGCACCACTGTACCTCAACAAACTAAACATTCCAGCAATTTGGAATTATTTATAGGAAAGCATGAGATTTTTAAACCGAATTTGGAATTTATAGGAAAGCATGAGATTTTTAAACCTGCATTCTAGTTCATATGTGGGAAGAGCACATTTGATAGAAATGTCTTGAAATGCAAACCAAAGAACCATCTTGCTCATTACAGGCTGCTGGTGGATGGCTTTTAACCTCATTTAAGAATTCCATCCACACCAGCCACAGGTAATCCACGGAAGGAATAAACCACAAGACAAAACCTCCCAGGTATATTTCTTAGCACTGGGAGTTCCAAAAGGGAGGTGGCTAACATGCAGCAAGTCCAAGGTCTATCCATCCCTGTTCTGAACTCCAGGGCTCATCAAAGCAGGGCATTGTTGGATGATCTTAAGATACACCAGAATTGGGATCTTCAGGTTAAAAACTGATTGAAATATGAAGGGACTATGGAAACAGTTGGGCATGAGACTTACTCTGGGTTGTTGCACTGTCTTTCAGCAGTCTGAACACCAGCCCCACAGGTACGCGTGCAATGTGACCACGATGACCATGATCCCCATCCACCACGGACAGCTTCAGGGCTCTTGCCCACCGTTATGCACTCACCTGTGAAGCACCACTGAACAATAAAGCAGCAAATGCAGTGGGTCAGAAAAACACAAGCACTAAGAGACACCTCTTCCATAATAGCTTGCTGGGGACAGATCTATGAGAGGATACTCTCCACGTTTTGATCTTGCATTGGACACTGTGGCCATTTTTGGGAAATATGGGAAAGGATCTATGAGTACTGATGGTTTTCTTTCTCCAGAAGTAGACACGGAAGGCATGCTTGGGTGCAAGCGGCAGATGATAAAATGAAATTTGCTCAGAAGAAATGTCTTCTAAGAAAATTTAGCTCAGCTCGAGAATAGCATTAAAGTATTTTGTGAGGTGGAAAAGTTCACGTAGACTTGGTTTCAGCTGCTGGACAGTCTGGTGCAGAGTTATGGAGCGAGGCAGAAGATATCTGTGTTGGCCTGTTTGTCGGCGTTACCTAAACTGCCATCGCTTACTCTGTTTACTGCTTTTGGTATGTTATGTAATATATTTAACACTTTGTTTGTTTTCTTAGAATCCCATTTACCCTTCCCTAAGAGAACTAGATAATATATATATACTATTTATCTCAGTGTCTCGAAGCCTCCTTTTTTTTTCAACACCTTTCACCTGTTTCCACACTACAGCAGGCCCCCTCCTTTGTCAATGTTGGCAAATACAATTTTGATGTTGTGTGGCCTGCATTTAATCCATATCACCATCTCGTGTCTTTATTCCGGGATTGGGTGGGCAAATGCTGCAGTGCTCGGCAGAAGGCAGAAGGCAAAAGCTCAGTAAAGAATTAATGTCTCATTTAGATATTACAGTATTTTAGCATGGGTTAATCTTGGTTTGTGTAAAAAACCTCACAGATTCTTGATATATTTTTTTTACATAATAGAAAATGGAGAGTCCGTTGTTTGGAGTGCTTCAGGGAGAGGCTGATGCACCCTTAAAGCCAGCATTCAGACAACATCTTTGCTAATACACACCAACCCACCACCAGAACATTTCTACTTGTACCTTCCTGGCCTCAATCGAAGGGACTTCTACATTTCTGGTGTGGGTAGGATTGCTGCGGTTTGGACATCCCGCACATGTGATCACTGGAAGCAATCCAAAGCAAGTCTTCCTTTTTCAAATTGCTAATACAGTATCGTGAAGAGGCAATTTGAAAAAGCAAGCCACTTCAAGATATTGGCAAATTAATCACTTCTCCTGTTCGGCAGAGGGTGGGGGAAATTGTTTCTGATTTTCTTTTAGCTGTATATAAACGATCACTGATGGGCTGCATTAGCTATGAAAAAAAAGGTTATTTGCTTCATCTGAAAGGGACAGTTGGGAATTGCCTGCAATCAAATCCACAGCAGTGGCTTTGGCTACAAGCACGTTCTTGATTATTTTTTAAAGAAAAAATAGATTCTCGAAGGCTTTCACGGCTGGGATCTGATGGTTGTTGTAGGTTTTTCATTCTGCTTGGCTGTGTTCTGGAGGTTTTCCTTCCT